TCCCCATTGAGAAAGCCAACAAAAAAAAAAAAAAATTCCCTCATTCTCTCGCATTTTCCCTCAATTTCTCGATGGTATCTTCAATCTCATTCACATTGATCTTTCTTTTTGAGTAAGAAAGATCCAATTTTTTCGGTTCTTGCTCTCCTCTTTGGTTACGAAATCAAGACTTAGAAGAACAACACACTGTTCTTTCTCCCTAGGGTTTGTTCTTGATTTTTTTTTTTTTAAGAACAACTAGAGAAAATTGAATGAAAGGTAACCAGAAAGATTCGTCGGAGAAACCCATATGGGATCGAAGCTCATCAAGCACTTCAATACCCGGAATCTGGTCGTTAACCAGACCCGGTCCAAAACTCATGGTTTGGTTAATCTGCTTCATTGTTTTCACTTACATTATCTACATGCTTAAACTCGTCTCTACCTCACGCTCCTGTGACGATTCCATTCCTTTCGTCTCCGCCGTCTCCACCAACGCTTCCTCCAATGTCTCTTCCTCCTCCGTATCTTCACGGCGACAAGATTGGGAAGAGGAGGAAGCGGTGGATGAACCGACCGATCTACAACACGTGGTGTTCGGAATCGCTGCTTCTTCAAAGCTATGGAAACAGAGGAAAGAGTATATCAAGATCTGGTATAAACCAAAACACATGCGTGGCTACGTTTGGTTAGACAAAGAGGTCAAGAAAAGCCTCAACGACGACAATGAAGACGATGAGGACCTTCTTCCTCCGGTGAAAATCTCCGGCGACACTGCTTATTTCCCTTACACGAACAAACAAGGACAAAGATCTGCGTTACGGATCTCAAGAATCGTGTCGGAAATGATGCGTTTAGGTTTAGAGAACGTGAGGTGGTTCGTGATGGGTGATGATGACACGGTGTTCGTCACGGATAATCTGATTCGTGTGTTGAGGAAGTACGACCATGAACAGATGTATTACATTGGAAGCTTGTCGGAATCTCATTTACAAAACATATTTTTCTCGTACGGTATGGCTTATGGTGGAGGTGGATTTGCTATAAGTTATCCATTGGCTAAGGCTTTGAGCAAGATGCAAGATCGGTGTATACAAAGGTATCCTGCATTGTATGGATCAGATGATCGCATGCAAGCTTGTATGGCTGAACTTGGAGTTCCACTCACTAAAGAACTTGGCTTTCACCAGGTAAAAAGATTTGGTTTTTCACATTTGGTTTGAATTTGGTAGTGTGATTGTTAGTAATTCTGTTAGGATTGGGTTCTTGCCAATTAGTTGGATGAAATTAGATATTCTTGAGGAGTTAATGACAAGGGAATTAATGATGTTGAGTTCTCAACTTAAATTTGATAGATTTGGTTGGTGTTTTATTTTTGTGTGTAGTGTAGAATATATAAGCAAGTTTGGTGATTTAGTGGCAAAAATTGGTGCTTTTTAAAGGATTTTGTGACATGGGTACTGAAAGTATTGATCTAAACTGAAATGGGTTTCAATCAATTAGTTAATTTGGCTTTAGAGTAATGTTATAAAGAGTTCTAAACAATTGGCTTTAGTACTGCTAAACTTTTCACAAGTTTGAAGCTTCAGAAGAAAGGCATTACAATGTTTCAATGTTCTTCTAAGAAAGCTTCTAATATTATTCTCAAGCTGATTAACGATTTCAATTTCGTTTTATTGGTCCTATTTTGGCAAAATTTTCCGTGGTTTGGTACCGACATATCGGCGCGTGAGTAGCTCAATGTCGTCCATTGAATTAGTTAGATTTTCTTAAATTATTAAATATTAATACGAACACAGGTTTATGAGTGGGACCCGCTCCTCTGTTTTACACTTAAATGACTTGTTCCTCTCATTATCCCCTACGCTCACAAGTGGCGCGTGAAAGCCACTCTATTTGTAACATCCTAAATTTTGTAGTTGTCTTTGTTTTCCCGTTTCAGTACGACGTTTACGGGAACCTCTTTGGCCTCCTCGCTGCGCACCCAGTAACACCTTTCGTCTCAATGCACCACCTCGACGTGGTGGAGCCGATATTCCCGAACATGACACGGGTCCGCGCCCTCAATAAGCTAACCTCGCCGATGAAGCTCGACTCAGCCGGTCTTCTCCAGCAGTCGATATGCTACGACAAGTACAAGAGCTGGACCATCTCGGTCTCGTGGGGCTACGCGGTCCAAATATTCCGCGGAGTATTCTCTCCTCGAGAAATGGAAATGCCTTCTAGAACTTTCTTGAATTGGTACAAACGAGCGGATTACACTGCCTACGCTTTCAACACCAGGCCAGTTAGCCGAAACCCGTGCCAAAAACCGTTTGTGTTTTACATGTCGAGCACGAAATTTGATCCGCAGCTGAACACGACAGTTAGTGAGTACTCGAGACACCGTGTGAAGCATCCGTCTTGCCGGTGGAAGATGACAAACCCAGCTGAGATAAACACCATCGTTGTTTACAAAAAACCGGACCCTCACCTATGGGAACGGGTAAGTAAACAACATATTATAAATTTTTTAGCATATGGTTTAAAATGTGAAATATTGTTAAGTACTTAATTGGGTTCTTGTGTTTTGTATAGTCACCGAGGAGGAACTGTTGCAGAGTATTACAAACAAAGAGGAATAATACGTTATGGATCAATGTTGGTGTCTGTAGAGCAGGTGAAGTCACCGAGGTTAAGTAAAATTATTTTTTTGTAATAATTTAATTTTTGAAAGGGAAGAAAAATTAGAGGTTTTTTAGGCTGTTTTTGATCCCTAGTAATTTCTTGGCACGTTATTTAAAAATATATTCATTGAGATCCCCATACTAGTTCTTCTCATAGTATATAATCGTTCACAAAAAAATGCAACATTTTCCCAAGTACAATTAGTAAATGGATCAATTTGGTTAATAACCAAAAAAAAATTAAAACATAAAAACATACTAAAAACCTTAAATTAGTGGTTATAATTAGTGCCACATAAGAGAATTTGCATAGCCATTATATTTTTATTTTTTTTCTTAGTTATATTTGCCAATTTCCCATTAGTAAATTGTATTGGACTCTGTACTTTCGAAAAAAAGAGAATTCAAAAGGAGAGAAGAATCATCAAATCTCGGTCCAAGAGGGACGACTCAGATGACAACATTTGAGGTAAAAATCTTATACAAACAATGGCCTCAAAACAATTCGCAAACTTTCAACACTTGACCGGTAACAACACAGAGGATATACATCAACGACGCGAAAGTGAATCAGAAAAAAGAGAAGAAATAATATCTCCCAAGTCACGAAGAGAAACTGGAACAAAGAATGATTACTTTGGGTAAGCCCCGGGTGGCGGATAAGCCCCGGGAGGAGGATAAGCCCCAGGAGGAGGATACGCCCCTGGAGGAGGATAAGCACCGGGAGGGTATTGAGAATACGCTTGAGGAGGAGGGTGTTGAGGATAGCCAGAAGGTGGATAGCCTTGTGGAGGATAACCGATTGCGGGTGGTGTAGCTTGCACAAATCGTGACATTTGCTGAGACGGAGGCACTGCCATTGGTTGTGGACCGAACGTACCGTCTCTCTTGTCCATTTCCACCTTGTGTTGTGTCTACATGAGCATTATAGAAGTTATAAGATTTTATTCAGGAGCCTGTA